GCACGCACCACGGGACAAGCCCAGGGGCGACCCCCGCGGCACGCTTCGCAGCCAACGGGTCACTGGCGACGCGCATCGTCCGCCAACGCCGCGAAGCGAAGCACTGAGGGAGGCGGGCCTCCCCGCCGTCGAACTCGACGCCAGTCGACGGCAACGTCCTCCCGCGCAGTGGCGAAGGGGACGTAGGGCGACCCAGCGAGGCCTCCGCGCCAGCGGGGGGTGGGCATCGCCGCCCTCGACCGCGGGCCGGTCCAAAGGCTCGCAGGGCCCACCGCCCGGAACGGGCGTCGACCCTGCCGGGGTGGCCTCGCAGCGCCGGGCGGGAGGCAGCCCTCCCGAGGGGAGCTCCCGGGGAGCCCTGCGCGCGAGAGCACGCTGCAGCTCCCGAGGGCACCCCGTGGCTCCCTCGCTCCGCGGGCGGGGGGCCTCGCCCTCCAGGGTCGCGTGGCCGGACGTCGCTGAGGCTGGCCGCGGATGCGGCGGCCCTGCGCCGCTGGGCGACGCTGCTTCCCAGGTCCGACCCCGTGGATGGCTCCACCTCCTCCTCCTCCTCCTCCTCCTCCTCCTCCTCCTTCCTCCTCCTCCTCCTCCTCCTCCTCCTCCTCCTCCTCCTGGAGTCAAAGAGCTCTCCGCCATCCTTCGGGCGGCCTGCACGGACGACGGCGCCCACGGGGAGCAGCTCGCCGTGGCTCTCAACAGTGGGGCACACGCCGCCCGCCCGATGCAAACGGCGGCACTCCTGGAGAGACCCAAGTGGAGGCAGACCAGGTCCGAAGGGTCGCCACCTCGTCAGGCCCGTCTGGCGCGAGACAGCGAAGCCACGACAGGGCGCCCTGGAACAGGTCGTCCCATCCGTCAGCCAGCAGCCAACCGTGACCGTCTCGCCAGCCACCTCCGCCCGCCAACCCACCGCCGTGGAAGCACCTCCCGGTAGCGCCGACTCGTCGCGGAAAGAAGAGGGCTGACCAGACAAGGTGCGAGCATCGTGAACCGCGGCCACCAGCGACAGAGATGCCGGAGACGGGAAGCTAGGCACAACGACAACGCTGGTGGCGGGAGGGGCCCTGCGACGCGGCCGCAGCCTAGGGCGCGCGGCGGTCGGAGAGGCCGACGGCGCGCCATGCGTTGCCAGCATGGGTGCCGAGCCCAGCAGCGCTCCACCCCCCTCGTCGGCGGCGCGGCCCTCTCCCTGCCGGGCCGGGACAGCACCGCTGGAGCGGGGCATGCCAAACGAGGCGGGTGGGGGCGACCCGGAAACGCGGGACGGCGCGGCGTTGACGACCTCCGCTCGGGCGGCAGCAACCGCGAGCGGGAGCCTGCCCTACGCGACGGCGGGGAGGGCGAAGGGGCGCCTGTGCCCTTCGCCGTGGGACGCATCGACCAGCGGCGAGGGCGAGGGGCTGGCTCGCGGCAGGGACTTGGGCGAGTGGGACCACAGGTTCGCACGAAGCTGGGCCTATCACCCTCACGATTCGACCCGCGGTCCCTGGCGTCCGCGCGGCCGCTGTCCCCACCGGCAGCGGAACGGCGAGAGGCGGCAGCCGACGGCAACAGAACGCCGCCTCAAGATGGCCCAAGGTGGCCAAAGATGGCATCGAGACGCCCCAAGAGGCGTTCAAGAGTCTCCCGAAGAAGGCCCAGCAGGGCCAACCTCGTATGTTCCATGGTTTAGATACAAAAACATACGTACATACGAGCAGATTCAAAAGGGATGTGAAACTAAATATGCAGCATCTACATGTGTACACGCATGCTACTTGGATTTATCCATACATGCATACATACATACGTGTATATATATATATAGTTCTGCATTTATCTGCAGACATATGCATGCACGGATTCATCCTCTCACGTCGATTGGGTAGGAGTCGTCAAGCCGTTGGGGACTGCCCCTACCCTGCCCGTCCTCTGCCTCCTCTTGATCCTCTTTGTGGTCACAATGTTCTTCATATTGTCTACCAGATCACTCGCATGCAAACTCAAAGATCGAACCATTTCCACTCGCGGATATCGCCCAATGCGGAGACTCGTTCCACAAACGCCTCATCCTGTTATTTCTTCTCCACATCCTCCTCCTCCTCGTCATCATCTTGCTCCTCCTTAGCCGCGTGGCTTCACTGATTTATCATTTTGTCCACCCTCTTTCACCCAAACTCCTCCTCGCCGTCACCCCTTATGTCCCATCTTCTCTATCCTTGTTCACCTTATCCTCATCCTTCGCCTCCTCCTCCTTCCTCCTCCTTCTCAATCCCTGCACCGCTCGTCCTCCCCCCCTCCTACTCATCGTCGTCGTTATCCTCGTCCTTCTCCTCGTTCGTACTGCTTCCCCCGCTCGTTCTGCTCCTCCTGTTCCTCCTAATCATGTCTCCCCTTCCTTGCATTTACGCCAAGGGTCTGCGCCCCATCGGTCCTCAAGGATGTACTGCGGCATCTGCGTGGACTTGCCGCAACCAGTGCCGCCGACCAGCACGGTGACACGCTGTGACTGCATGGCCACCTCGAGGCGAACACGCATTCTTCCACAAACCGTGCATCTACTCTACTCGTCGGCCGCCCCTCCCCTCTCCCATCACCTCCCGTCCCGCCCATTCCGGTCCCGTCCCCTCCAATATACCGTGCCCCCTGCCTCGGCGCTGGTCAGCTCCGATTGATAGTTCTTCGACTTCCATGGCGGACGCACCGTGCAACTGTTGGGCGAACAAACACACCTTAGATTCCCCAATCAACACTTGCACTGAAGGAGTCCTAGCGGGTGTCAAAATCGGGGCTTCGTAAACGGGGAGCTAAACGGGACTTAGGCTTTTCCATACACCCCCGTTTACTGTACCCCCGTCTATGGGCGCCCAGGGCCCCCTAAACGGGGGCATAGCCAAACGTGGAAATCAGCGTTCCCCGTACCCCCGTTTGCTGTGCCCCGTCTCTGGCGCCCTGACAAAAGAGTTGTCGAAAAAGCCGGGCCGACAAGACGGCCCCATGTGGCCCCAAGATGGCCCAAGTGGCCAACAGGATGCCCAGAGGGAGCCCCAAGAGCACCCCCAAGAGGGCCCCAAAGGCAAAATTCGTCAAAAATCCTTGAGAAAACATATCGTTCTCAGCATATCCGCTCCTGAATCTTTCACAGTGTCCATGACGGCCCAGGAGGCCTCTAAGATCGCCCCAAGACAACCCTAACTGCCCCCAAGAAGGCCTCAAGATGGCTCAAGAGAGCCCTAAGACGGCTCAAAATGGCGACCAAGATGGCCCAAAAGGGTACCAAGAGGGCCCCAAGAGAGGCCCAAGATGGGGAATTCGAACGGAGACTTCGAGTCCTCCGCCCGAAGGGGGCCCCGAGATCGCCAGCAGGCCTCCGAGATGCCCCCAAGAGGCCCTAAGAGGCCCAGAAAAGACCCCAAGAGGCCCCCTAACGGCCCCCATGAGGCCCCAAGAGGCTTCAAAACTGCCTCCAACAGGCCCCCCTGAGGCTTCCCCAGAGACTCCAACAAGCATCCAAGAAGCCTCGAACCCACAACCAAGGCACGGTGGCGGGATGGGCCAAAGGCCACTAGACCTGCTTGGCACGGGGACGGAAAGCGCACTTACTTTCAGAGCGCACGAGATCGCTGGCTCGTCCGCTCTTACACCTCTTATTGACTCCCTTCCCCTCGCTCTTGTCCTATCTCAGCCTCGGAGTCGCGGAGCTTTCTTTGAGCGCGTTTCTTGTTTTGGAGGGGGCGGTTGGGTCGCGTTGCGTTTTCCGCGTTTGGGCTGCCAGCTTTCCAGAACCCCGCGTTTTCCTTGCGTGGACCGCTCGTTGTCCACGCGTTGCCGCCCGTCCCTGTGCCCTGGCGTCAAGAACTTATTACGCCGCAGCTCTCTGTTGGGAGCTTTGGTCTTATCAGCTCGATTACGTCACCGCTCGCTCTTGGGAGCCGCGGTGCAAAGAGCCTTTGGGAGTATTTTGGGCCTCTTGGGGGGCCTCTTGGGGTTCGAACCCCCTCCCCCTCCCTTCAGGATCCGGAAAAGCGGGGGGGGTCACTACCGGTTCGAACCCCCCCCCCCAGTCTCAAAAACCGGAGGGGGGTCACAACCGGTTCGACCCCCCCCCCCACGCACCGCCAGCAAACGACTCCCGGTCCCTACCACCGTCCGCATCACATCCCCCACTGTTGTTCCCAGCGCCACTGTCCTCACCACCACTGTTCCCGATGGTTCCACCGCCGTCCCTACTGTCTCCACCAGTGCCCCCACCACTGTCGCACTGTCCCCACTGTCCCCACCACTGTTCCCACCACGGTTCCACTCTCCCCACTGTCTCCACGGCCCCAACCACTGCCCGACTATCCCCAGTCCCCACTGTCCCACTGACTCCTCCGCTGTCCCACTGAGCTGTCCCCACTGTTCCCACCACTGTCCCCACTGTACACCACTGTCCCATTGTCCCACCGCCGTCCTCGCCACCGCCTTCACCACTGTCCCCACCACCATTGTACCCTCCACTGTCCCACTGTTTCCACCTCATTCCCACTGTCCCCACACCACTGTCCCCACCACCACCGTCCCCACCACTGTCCACTGTCCCCCCTGTTCCCACCATTGTCCCCACCACTGTCCCCACCACTACCGTCCCCACCACTGTCCCACTGTCCCACTGTCCCCACCACTGTCCCGCTGTCCCCTCACCACTGGCCCCACCAACACCGTCCCCACCACTGTCCGCACCCCCACTCGGTTTTCCAGGGGAGGAGGGGGGGGGTTCGAACCGGTAGTGACCCCCCCCCCCCTTTTCATGATGAACTGGGGGGGGGGGGAGGGGTTCAAACTGGTAGTGAGCCCCCCCGGTTTTCCAGAAGGGGGGGGGGGAGGGGTTCGAACCGGTAGTGACCCCCCCCGGTTTTCCGCCAGCAGCGGTAGAACACGATCTTTCTGACATTTGCTTCTTTTCGGCCTTCCGACGGCTCAAAACGGCCCAGAGACCCCAAGATCGCCGCAAGATCGCCCACGAGGCCACCGAGGTGGCCCCATGGCGGCCCAAGAGGCCCCCAAGACGGCCCCAAGAAGCCTCCGAGACGGCCAAGATGGCCTCCAAGACGGCTAAGATAGCTTACACATGCCTCCAAGATGGTCCAAGATGCACCCAAGACAGCCTAAGATGGCCTCAAGATAGCCCACGACGGCCCAAGAAGCCTCCAAGACGGCCCAACACGACCCAAGAGGCCTCCAAGAGGTCCTCCAGGAGGGCCCGAAGAGGCCCAAATCATTGATTTTCCTTACGTTTTTGAAGGATGTTGGCATTCGCTTCGTCTCGGCTTTCCGACGACCCAAGGAGGCCCAAGAGGCCCCCAAGATCGCCCCAAGATCGCCCACGAGGCCCGCAAGCAAGATGGCCCCATGACCGCCCAAGAGGCCCCCAAGACGGCCCCAAGAGGGCCCCAAGACGGGCCAAAAGGCCTCCAAGACGCCTAAGATGGCCTCCAAGACGGCCCCGAAGCGCCCCAAGAGGGCCCCAAGCCGGTTCAGAGAGGCCCCCAAGACAGCCCCCGACGGCGTCAGACGGGCCAGGACTCCCAAAGAGGCCCCCGAGAAGTCCCAAAAAGGCCCCAAGAGGCCCTCAAGAGGCTCCAAGACAGTCCCAAGATGCCTCCAAGACCGCAAAGATGGCCAAATAAAACCCTGGAGTAGCCCAAGATGCTCCCAAGAGGCCTCATTATCCCTTCTCCTTCTTCCTCCCTCTCCTCTCATTCCTCCTCCCCCACCGTGTTCCCCGAACGTTTTCCAAACCGATTCGGGGAACACATGGTTCGATAGCTTGGCAGGCCTCTAGCCACAACGTTCGGCCACATAGGCGTTTACAAAAAGGCAGGGGGCGGCGGTGCTTCGCCGAAGGCGTGGCGTCTTCGATCCGCCGCCTCCTGTTGAATCATCACAGGGGTGCCTGGCGTGCTAGACCCTACTGGCTTTATTTCGATTATTTTCCGAAATTATCCCGGCAAAGCAACCTAACATCGATATGTAGAAGCATAGCTGGAGGCATGCAGCAGCAGTAACAGTCACAGTAGTAGTAGCAATAAGAGCAGGAGAGATGAAACAGTGGTAACAGTGAAGTAGTAGTTGTAGTTGGCGGGAGTGAACGAGTGAAGTGTAGTAGTAGTAGTAGTGGGTGTAGTGGTAACAGTGAAGTGAAGTATAGTTGGAGTGGGTGGATGGCAGTAGTAGTAACAGTGAAGTACGGCGGATGTCTTGGATAGTAGACACTGCTATCAACGCTGCTATCAACGCTGGAAGTGTGTCAAAACGAGACACTGCTATCAATAGTGGGAGTCGTGTAAAAACGAGACACTGCTATCAACGCTGGCAATGAATGATGATGATAAGTGCGATAATGAGTGCGACGATGAGATGATGACTGTCCTTTTTCAGAGGACCGCGCTGAGGAGCGGCGTGCGAAGCGGAGAAGCTGCAAAGCGCGCAGGCTGAAAAGCATTGCAGACACGCGCAGGCTGAAAAGCATTGCACGACACGTGCAGGCTCACCGCGCACAGCTGCACACGAGCGCAGGCTGAGAAGCACCACGCGCATGCAGGCTGAGAAGCACCACACGAATGCAGACGGACAGACTGAACAGCACCGCCACAACGCAAGCTGCATCTCATGGCTCCTCAAGCTCGCGCAGGCCATCCCAGTTGCTGTCGGGCCTTCGCGCAAGCGATCTTCGTCGCGGCAATCTTGTCCGCGAAGAGCTCGGCGAAGGCCTTGGCGATCTGTTCCGGGGGGCCGGATTCGATGATGCTCCGGTCAGGCAAGCCGTGGCTCAAGAGTTGGTTGAAGCTTCTGGGGCGCGACAGGCTGACGTAGTAGGCAAGCCAAATGGACTCCTTCTTGAGTCCTGGCGGAAACGCCCAGTGCACGATGAAGCCTGGGTCCGTCGTCTTGCCCTGGACGCCATGCAGAGTCCCCTGCTTTTTGGGCAGCACGGTCAACTGCGTCCTGGACACCGCGATGGCCGGGCCACCTGTCTTCGCTTTGAACTTCCAGGGGCGCGCCTGCGGGGTGATCGCGAGCACTCCGCGCAGGTCGGGGCCGGCAGGCTGACAAGCACTGCCAGCTGTCACCGGCGCGGCCTTCAAGAAAAGTTCATCGCTGTCATCGATCTTGACATGGACGGCCTTTGGCATGTAGTAGAGCACGACCACACCGTCCGAGACAATGGACGGGCGGCCCTCCACCGGAGGCTCCAGAGCGTGCAGCTCTATGCCTACCACTTTGCCTGGCGCGCCACGGACATACTTCGGCGGCAAGACGGATTCTGTCAGGATGACCTCCATGCCAACGAAGAGCGGCGGCAGCCCCGGCATTTTTGCGGTAGCGCCGATGTTGGGCTCCGCGCGCATCTCGTCGAAATCAGGCTTCGCGAGGCGCGCAGCTGGTCTGTCGATTGCTGGGACGTAAAAGAGCAGCTGGCCAGCATCGTGCGCATCAAGCTTGGCCTGTGCATGCATGGCGTAAGAGACGATGCGCCAC